TATGCAACAGGACATCTACAGAAGCCCGATGCGTTTTGGAAACAAGTGCTGTGGACTGATGAAGTTAAAATAGAACTCTTTGGACACAATCAGCAAAGGCATGTTTGGAGAAAAAAAGGAGCAGCATTTCATGAAAAGAACACCTTGCCAACTATTAAGCATGGGGGTGGATCTATCATGCTCTGGGGTTGTGTTGCAGCCAGTGGCACAGGAAACATTGCACGGGTGGAGGGAAGAATGGATTCCACTAAATACCAGCAAATTCTGGAAGCAAACATCACACCATCTGTAAAAAAGCTGAAGCTGAAAAGAGGATGGCTTCTACAACAGGACAATGATCCTAAACATACCTCGAAATCCACTATGGAATACCTCAAGAGACGCAGGCTGAAGGTTTTGGAATGGCCATCACAGTCCCCTGATTTAAACATCATTGAAAATTTGTGGGTAGATCTTAAAAGAGCTGTGCATGCAAGACGACCAAAGAATATTACAGAACTAGAAGCCTTTTGCAAGGAAGAATGGGAGAAGATCCCAAGTACAAGAATTGAAAGACTTTTAGCTGGCTATGAAAAGCGTTTGCAAGCTGTGATATCTGCCAGAGGAGGTGTTACTAAGTACTGATTGTGTAGGGTGCCCAAACTTTTGCACCATGCCATAATAATGTTTTTATTTTTTATTTTTGTTCAATTTATGGCATAAGAAGTAACTATGCATCACTGTTTGCAGAAAATATTGTGCATTTTTTCCATTTCCAAGAGAAACTGTGTTAACATCTGTTCAAATAAAAAATCACCAAAATCTGTTATGTATCAAGGGGTGCCTAAACTTTTGCATAAGACTGTAAACACCAAACGGCAGACAAGGCGGAGCAGCCCAGGAAGATACAAGTAACGTAACTCAGGGTTCTCTGAACCCTGAGTTACGTTTTCACCAGTTATGACTTCACCTGTGCCCAGACTTTGAGTAAACTTCCTGTTGATTTTAAACAGTCCTCTCCTGTCTTCACTTCTCGCGCTTCCAACAAAAGAATTGGGTTATTTCTAATAATATGATGACAGGCAAACAATAACAGACAGCATTTTGAGGCCACCTGCAACATTTAATGACCTGTGTACCATCATCTGATAAACAAACAAGCAGTATTAATGACTCTCAATGCAACATCAAAATGTTCTCTCTTACGCAACTCACAGCTGATGCCCTAGCTCTCTCCTCGGTCCAAACAACAAACTGATCACCTTTTTCTCTTCCTCTCCTGCCTGTTTAAGACTGCCTGGGTCACCCACACATGACCCGCACTTTCCAGCCTGTAAAAAGCCTTTTCAAACAAACAGCCTTCTGTACCTCATATAATGAAATCGAGCAAATATAGTGAACAAAAGCAAATATACATTTCCCACATTGTCAACTCAACAAAAAAAGAATTCTGAACTGAACTATGCACTTGTTTTCAGAAATGAATATGTTGTTTACGCTGCCGTGGTAGCTTCTCGTGTTAAGTGTTTTAGATTCATCCGGTTCTTTTATCTGAAGGCCCCAAGAAGTAACACTCAGTGGAAGGATATTTTCCCACTTACGCTTTACCAGTTGAACTCAGAGAGACGAGGCGGTCCAAGTGGCTACAAAAAACCGTGTTGGTTTATTCAAGGATCACAGGTAAAATTAACATTACACGCTCAGGTATCCTTCACCTCCAAACTGCATGCAGGCAGATGAACGATGAAGAGCCCCGAACCCAACAGGCCTGTACATTATATCTGGTTTGGGCTATCCCCATTCTACAAAGGCACCTCAAACCGTGGCGTCACCTGATATGCCAGCTTTACAGCTGACCGTAGCAGTAGTCAAAACATGGAGAGAATCAATGTGTGTGAGTGTTGATTAAGTGGTGTGTAGCTAAGAACATACAGGACATTCAGGGACATGTCCGGACATTAAGCCTTGGAAGATATTATGATTAAGATTACGGCTGAACATATCATACAGTAGCCACTTTCCATCTAGTTATCCTTGAACATAAACAACCTGGAGTAACTCATGGAAGTGAGTAAGCATTTAACAGCCTCAGCTAGACATCCCGTCTACACTAAAAACATTTCTAATAAAACAAGTACCTAACTAATATCTATCTGACTAAAAATACCTAACACAGGAAACAAGAATCAGCTTTGAGTAGTTTTCAGACAACAATGAAGGTCTACAGCACAGATGAATGTTGGTTTTAGTCGCTATATGGGATTTGTGGGAAAACAGCTAAATAAAACACCATGCTTATCCTTTAAAGACATTCTCTGCTTAAGAAGATATGTTAACAAGTACAATGTATGCAGAAACAGCTTATGGACTAAAACTAAAAATAAGCCTCATCTCCACGGCTGATGGTCAGATGTGCAATGTGGTCTATAAATGGCTAAATTGTGCTTCTCACGTCTCTTCAAACTCCTCACCTTCCAGCTACTACCAATTAGTATATAGTCTAGCATAAGCTATGAGCCATGTAATTATTATAAAAATATATATAAATCACCCATCACACACAGAGCCAGATATATATCAGACTAAATAATAGGCACACATTTGCTCAAGGTGTGCAAGGCAGTGTGCAAACCTAACACCTAGGTATTAAAGGAAGGAGGATTTGGGGAGGTGTGAGCCATAGTCTTGGAGCAACCAGTCAGTCCTATTCCCATGCAAAACCCTGTTGGGCTGTGACAGGAAGGGGAAGTAATAAAATCTACAACCAAGTCATATACCTTAACCAAATCCTCTGATGTAGACGTGAAAAAAAAGTTTGATACATGTAGGATGGGGGAGGAGGGGTGGGGTGGGGGAGAAAGGGTGGCACATGGTTATATAATATTCATGGTGTCACCAAAGGGGGCATTTTCACTCACTCAAGAAAAAACAGGCCTATTATTCTGCCTTATATCACCAACTCCAGTGATGTGATTTTCCAGAGACGCTGTATTTATTAGGCTGAATTCATTCTCAAGTGACACAAGTAAAATACAATTTCACTTCAACCTCAAAATGGTCAATTACTGCTACTGTACAAAACAGTGTGTGAGACCACAGCATCAGTACCATGGACAGCAGACCTGACAGTTTCATTCACTCAAATACGACGCACCTGAGCAGTACAGAGAGGCAAGACTCCAAACACAACAGAACAAAAATAAAAACATGTATATTGCCTTACCTGAACTATCCATTCCTCCATTCTCTATGCCTACCATTTAATGTGATATGAAGTCTGTCCAACTGTGCATCCAGTAAGAAGTAAAAAAAAAAAAAAAAAAAAAAAAAAAAAAAAAAGCCTTCAGACACACATTGGCATGGTGTTTCACAGGCACAAGAGTTTTGTAACTATAACTAAATTATTTCTTGTAGAAAGGGTCATAGTTAAAAGTGGTGTTATAATGAACCACATTAAATTCAGAGGTGTTCCTAATATTCTGACCCTCTCATGCATGTACCTGGGGAGGGCAAAAGATAAAGAGACACCTCTAAATATAATGTAGTACAACACCACCTTTACCTATGACCTCAATAATAAACACATAATTGAATTTATACATTTCACAGTTTCACCAAAAGCTTAAATACAATACAATTGTAAATGTGGACCTAATAAAGTGATTGGTAAGAGCATATGACTTATTTGACTGAAAGTCACAAAGCGCAAAACAATGCAGAAGCATTTTGAGATGTTTTCACTAATCATCTTGTAATGAATGTCACTTCAGTTCTACTTTCTGAGTAGGAACAATATGCAAGCACTGTAAAAGGTTTTGCCACAAACTCAACTGACTGGCTTCTCTCCTGTATAATTTCACGAGTCTCTTTAGATTTAATATACAATCTGGATGACAGAGAATTTGAACAGAAAAACTGTGCATGAACTATCCATGAGCTCATAACTTCTAATTGAAGCTGTGTGTGACCTTCAAACTAAACTTTTTTCCACAAATTGAACATATAAAAGTGGCAGGAGCATCATCTATGCTAATTTAACCCTCACACTCTGTCATGCTCCTCTGGTTCTATTCTGTACAGTTTTTCCATCACAATAATAAATATAGTCACATTTTAACATGACAAGATCTTGTGATACCCCTAGTAAGTTACTGTTTAGCCTTCTCTTGTTGTGTGCTTGTGCTCACTTGGATCCTCACTGAGAAGCATCTCATCTAGATTGCTTTTTCTGAAATTAAATGGGGTAGACATACGGCTATAAGTACCAAGACCAATGTCATTCGTTGAGACAATACATTAGCGATACAAAGAGAATGTGTCAGTCCGTGGAGAAACATCAAAGCACATCCAGTCACCTTTAACCTATTTTAAATATTTTAACAGCTGCAAAACAAACTTTGATTTTACCCACAGCCAAGTAGACATCATTTACTGATCCTGATTAAATACCACTTCTTGGCACTCATTCAAATCAATTCTGCTCATTGCATTTTCATTTCCTGCTCATCTGCATCCAAACGACCAGCAAACAGTAACCTCGTGTCATGCACTCATTTTTAGGTATAAAAAGAGAAATTGTGGACACAGGCCCACTTTATCTATAGGTCGAACAAAGCCTTACTTCCTGAATACAAGCAGTGAGGAGCCTCGTAGATGTAGCTTATGTTGGGAGCTGTTTTCGAAAACCAGTCGCTTTTGCAGACTGCTCAAACTAATGTTTAGGATTAAAGAAGTTCACCATCTTCATCACGTTGTCACCATTTTACGGGACGTCTTCACTATAAAACCAAGGTTATTTCTGGAGTTTTTAACCCTAAAACTGCGCAGCTCGAAACTGGCAATGCAAAACAATCTCCTAATAAATACCATCATGAGTTGCTAATATGGAACTGACAAAAATATGAAGATGACAAATTAGTAGCTAACACGAGAGAACTTCATTTTTATGACACCTTTGCAATCAATCCATCCACACCCACGGCGCCAGCTCGACGTGCAGCTGCAGCCGCTAGCTAACTTACTTTTTCCTGAGAGCCTCAGCTTCACATGACGCGATGGAGGCATCCGGGGTGGGTGGGGAAAAACAGAGCCCCCCTCGGTCATTCGCCCATACACATCTGATTTGGACCCATTTGCCGACAATTCTTGGTCTAAAAGCCGACTGATGTTCAGCTGGCCTTTGCCAAAAACAACAGTCTCCTCCGCTTCTTCTTCTTCACCGTGTTTGGTATGGTAGTGCAACACCGTGTCCTCGTCCTCGCTCGACTTTTCACCAACGCATGACGTCACATGCAGGAGGCGGCCCTCCGGAGCTGCAAACTCTTGCGGGCTGGAAAACGCTGTTAAATTCGTCTCAGTCTAACTGCACATTAAATACTGCGAGATTTTAAGCATTCAAGACGCTGTAAGAAAGTCTTTGAGGACGGTGGGAGAACCTTCCACATAGCCAGATAAGGTCCAGTCCTCACCCACTCTTTGTTCTCCATCTATGGTCAAAAATCACATGACATTCCATCAGTCTGATGTATTGTAGGCTATAAGATTTACTGTGAAGCTCCACAGGTACAACAAATCTGACTCTGGTCCATGGAGCAGAATGAACACTTAGTCCAGAACACTTTTAGGTTCTCACACTTTGTGGCTCCTCACAATGTGGAACTATTCTTACCACTCCTCTCTCTATGAAACCTTTCCCGTTTAATACACCATTATATTCAAAAGCCACATCCCTTCAAAGCCATGTTTTGCTTTCACATTATTTCCCAGTTTTAGATGCATTTTAATACAATTTCAGTTGGCTACCATAAAAATAAAATAAAATAAAAATTATGTGATGTCACATGTAGCATGCTGACAACATCACTAATGGTCAAATAAACATCACATTCCCAGTCTGGCCCTGATTAATTCCCCATTGTAAAATTTGAATCCTATAGGCTTCAGTTACTTTATAAGCTTTAAGTTCAAAGGTCAAGGTCAAAGTGTTTATTTGTCATATGCACAGTTAGGAAACGTGTTTCCCTGTACAATGAAATTCTTTGTCGTCCACATGAATGCCACACAATACAAATGAAATATAAAGTAGATGAATAAGTAACACACAATCTAAGGCACTTTAAAACAGCAAGTAAACAAATAAATATATAGGAATATAATAAGAGAATGTATGCTACATGGGAGCAGCATGTGCAGCAGTCAACAGTCAATGTGCAATTATGCATGTGCAAACTGAGAATGTAAACAGTACAGGTCGACAGTACATCACATATTTCCTGGTAATAAACTCCTCAGCTGTTTAGGAGTCTGGTGGCAGAGGGAAAG